AAGAGACTCTGAAAGTTTCAGGGGAAAATATTCTCTCTCTTTTAGTCCTGATCCATTTATATAATAACCTGTCTGAAAATGAGCTGATCAGATTTTGGCCACTTTATGTCATAATGATTTTTTGGCTTGTGTAACCATTAGCCAATCAGCAACCAAGGTAAACCCCCCCCCCCCCTTATCACCTGAATCTCCTCCTAGAGCACCACTGTGTTCTTGTTAACCAAATATCTCTCAGAGGGGCGTGGGGAGGGGCTCCTTATTTTCTAAAGTAACAGACAGAGGGTGGCCGTTTCTCAATCTCGAGGAAACTGGCTTCCAAGCCAATATTTCAAGGATGCTACGTCATCGAGTGCCGCCAAAGGACTGTTCCAATCTCCAGCATACTTGGAATTCCACCGAGGCCGCGTCCTTGGTTTGGGGGTAATTCCGAGGTTGCACATGGGTAGACTTCGCGTCCTTAAAATCCCCACAATGCTTTGCGAACGGACCAATTTCCCCAAATCTGTGGCGGAAAATGTAAGGCCAAGCAAGCATCCTCGCGATTGAGAAACGGCCACAGTTTCTCAATGTCGAGGACGCTTCCTTGGTAGCACATGTCTTCCGAGTCACTTCCTTCAGAAGCAAGGCAAGAATCCTTCCTACCCTTGGAAAACGAAGAATGATGGAACAGGCTAACAGGTGTGCATACAGTATGCGAGACCCCCCCTTAAATGGAGCGCGATTTCCGCCAAAGATTTGGAAATCGGTCCGTGCGCAAAGCATTGTGGGGATTTTAAGACCGCGGAGGATACACATGTGCAGCCTCGAAATGTCTCGCTACGAAGTACGCCGGCCTCGGTAGAATTCCAAGGAGCCTGGACATTGGAACAGTCGTTCGGCGGGACTCGATGACGTAGTATCCTTGAAATAGGGGCTCTGGAGCATCCTTCCTTGACATTGAGAAACACCCAGAGAATCAGCCCTTTTGAAACAGGGCTGAAACAGAGGGGTTTATGGGATGCTACAATGCATGATGTTTGGTGTTTCGAGGCAAACACAGAGACATGTTTTGAATATATCCGAGACCTATACTATATAGATGAAAAACAGTATAATAGGAGACGTTTAAGGATTTTGTAATCATACTTCTTCCAAGTCTCCTCAAATATGCGACCAAGGCCTAAGAGTTGGCAGCGTTTTCCCCCCAGCAAACACTGCGTGTAGTCGATTACAGTGATTAGCTGGCTTTCCGGTTGAAGGTGTGCTAATCAGTGAGATCAGCTGGTGTAGTGTTTGGCTGGAACAAAAACCTTCTGTGTGATGGGCCTCATGAGACGGATGTACATGAATGTTTGTGCAGAACAACACCGAGGTGCCAAGGCTGTGATTGTTATATCGCGGCAGGAAGCTTGGGGGTCTGAGATTCTAAGCAGGGACGCATCATGTGATGAAGCAAAACAGCCACAGAGACCTCAGATATAACATATTCTTATATTAAATTGTGAAAAATAATGTGACAAAGCTGTACGCCCAGACAATTATCACTGTGTCAGCAGATACAGCTAAACAGCAAAAAAGCTTGAAAAACTGGGAGACTAATAACTGCAAATTTCACATCAAAGGATATGAACACCTACACAAGACATTCACTAGGGAATGAATCAAGAGTCAGGTACATTTTTAAATCTGTGTACTGGTGTATGCCTAGGGTAATACTCAGGATGTACTTACTGTTCCTGCACAAAATTATTTAGTGTACAAGGTGACCTTCGCCTGCTTTCAAGCTTCGCAGCAGTTAACACTGAATACATGCCGTGGAGAAAAAGTGTTTGTTTAAAATGTATTGCATTAAACTGGAGACATTAGGCCTTGAACAAGTTGTCCTTGCTCGTCCTCTGCTAGAATGCAATAAATACATAATAAATACATCTCCCTTATTTACTTGAGATATAGGAGTTATATAAGAGCTTCACCTTTTCAAAGAGCAGATCGCTGAGGGACTGTGCGAACTCGCCATCCTCCATCAGCAGGAAATGGCGCAGCGCCTCAAAGTGTCTCTCCACCCCTAACTCCACAAAGAAGTAGTCCACCACAGCCTTGTTCACCAGAGAGACACTGGGGATGGAAGGTGGAGGAGACAATTAGCAAAATAAGAACAGTTTACATTCAAGAATGAGGGTAAAATGTCAACAAAACGTTCACATGTAAGAGGTTTATCTCTCATTCAGAACAATGGAAAGGCTCTCCTCTCACTGATTACTGCACATCACCATGGAAACCTTTGATCTCTGGGCTCAAGCACAGGTGTTTCATAACGGTTAGCTCAAACAAAAACACCTGTGTGATGGAACATGATGATGTCATAACTCTAACTGACATGCTCAGAAAGCCACCAAACATCACATGATGGTTAACTCTGTGGCCCTGAACAGCTCTACATCAAATATGTTACTATGGCAACGCATCCCTCGCCATAAAACTGCTGACTTGCATATTTAATTAAGGTTTTGAGGAAAATAGACATCAGCTCTGGAGAAAGCTCAGGGAATATACTGGTGTTTCACTTTTTGGATCATTCCTGATTACCATTTAAATGATTCCTAACAAGTTGCCATTTCGTTTAACAGTGGGATAAGATGAGGCTCTTTTTCCAGAAAAGTCAGCGGGGAAGATATGAAAATAGAGTGAAAAAAAAAACTGCAAACATCATAGTGCCGTCTACGCATGCTATTAAAAAGCGTTAATACAAATGTAGAGCTATACTGCTAAATCTACTGCATCCCCTCTGTGTGCAGATAGGGATCAGAAAGCATTCCTTTACACACAAAGGCTAAACAGCAAAGTGAGCAGAAACATTTCAGGTGAAGACTGACAAGCTTGTCTGGAGCTCTGATGGCATTTCAAACAGAAAAAGGATCCTACAAAGATGAAAAGTAATAAGAATATAAATTATTCCTCCAGCAGAATGTGCACTCAACTACAGTTTAAGTGGATTGAAGTAGCAGAAAAATGACAAGAGATCAGTGAAAGCCTCACACATGCATTTCTCTTAAACAAAGTATTCCACTTCAAGTTGAAATAATCACGTTTTTCTCAAACACTCAAAACTAACATTTATAAACAACAATAAAATCCCGACCACACTTTGCTCCTGCAGCTTTCTCTCAGTCAGACACTTACTGTGTGGTGAGCGGCGTGGTGACGGCCTGTTTTATCAGAACTGGCAGTGAAACCAACTCGCTGAGCTGGACGGCGGTGGTGTCTGTGGCTTTGCAGAGCGTGGGGTCCATAGGGAAACCCCAGGGGCCGCGAGTCACCTGCTTCAACAGCTGACACTCAGGGGACGAAGCTGCAGGAGAGGGAGATCAAAGGCATGTTCCATGAATTCATATCAATCTCACAACTGAAGAAAACTGTGGCATTGTAAAAAGAGCAAAGGAGAAATTATTTGTATAATCAAAGGAAAAATATTATCTTAATACTGTAATATGATGATAATAAATACTTTAACAATTCATTAAATGATTAAGCTTAGGGAAGATACAATTAGTCAATTTAATCAATGAAATTACATTTATTTGCAACTATTTAAAATAAAAGATTAAGAGTAATTTTTCTGACCAAAACTGTCCGTTCCATTGTTCAAATGTTAAAATTCACGTGTTCTTTTATGATGTTAAAGGTCCCATGTCATGGCCATTTCTACTGATCATAATTCCATTGTTGAGGTATACTAAAATACATTTATATTGTGCAATTTTCCAGACTCACATTGGTTTCTCATACAGCATCTCTGTATAGTATGTGTATTCACTCTCTGTCCTAAACGGCTTGATGGAGCTCCTGCCCCCCCCCTCCCTGTGAGCCCAGTGGCCGTCTGCGAGACAGCGAGACACAGCGAAACCCAGCACGAAACACACACCCGCAGCCTGGCTGGGAGTTTGTGTGTGTGCCCAGGCTGAGTTCCGCGGTGTGTGTGTGTGAGGAAGTCCGCGGATTGGTCCAAACGTAACGGGCGCTCCGCGGACGTAACGCTTACGTCACTATACCCCGAAATACGTCTCTATAACAAGAAGTAAACAATGGGAAGAAAGAAAAATCTCCAACGAGGCGTTCTTGGGGCAGCATGACAGGGTCTTTTCTGGTGTTAGAGTTATTACTCGCCATACAGGGCTGCTACTTTGAGGGTTTTGCACGAAAACCTTTCATAACACACAAGGGGACGGCGTATATAAAACCAGAAAAGCGATGACATGGCCCGACCTTTTAAAGTGGATGGTCTTCAGTTTTTGCTGATACTTGCACAAACCAGACATTTCCACATGTGGAGGCCTTATTGATATTTATTGTATCCAATAATAATAAAGGTTAGTCCTACTCCCCAAAATCTAAGATCTGGTTAAATGTGGGTTTCCGGTTGCTCACTAAATGCCAGGTCTCCTCCCTTATTTTTTTTTGAATTATTGCACGGTTGAATTAGTGCATAGTTATTTACTGATCAGTGTTTTCATTAAAGTAACGTAATATATTGCAAATGTCAGTGTCAATTTTGCTAACTTTCTATAATTTATTAGTAACACCCGCCCTGAGTAATTAAAACTGCTGAACTTTTTGATTCGAGTAGTGTGGAAGATGTGTTGGCTGAGCCTGATTTCAGCGGAGACCCTGGGAGCCGGCGATGAATAATGCAGCATGGACACGCAAAGCCGAAAAAGACAGGATTGATCACGTTCAGCGAACCATGATGCATCCCAACCAAACATAAACCAGACTTAATTACCCTTTGCTGAAATATCACTGGCCTTTTTAGTGCAACCACTGCGGCATGCTGGGGATGGGGAGTAAATTATTTAACAGCCTCCGCGAAAAACATCACTCCTGAACATGTCAAAAAGATTTGTGTTGGATTTACATGAAGCTAAACTCAACGCTGTAAGGGTGCATCATTTTTATATCTCAGCCGAATTGATAACATGAATGTTTTGGCTCCGCAGTTTTCACAATGATGTTTTCATTTATCATTAAGTTATCAAAACATCAGGGAAGCTAACTGGCCGCACATATCCGCTCCACAACCATGTAGACATGCTCAATATTCTTACATTTGAATACTAGATATCACCGAAGATCCAGGGGTACATTTTTTTTACCAGAATGTTTAATGTTTAGGCCTGCAACCGTTTTGTTAGGAAACATGAATGCGCTTAGGCTCTTATTGTTTTAAGAGTTTAGTCCCCTCCCCCTCACTCCCATTGCTCCCCGGGCGCTGTACAATAGCTGCCCACTGCTCCTAGTACAGGCTATATGCAGGAATCCTGAAGTCAAATGTAAAACCTTTTAAGACCCTTTCCATACATTTGAAGACCTCATCGCCACTTCGAGTTTTAACCGGTTACCTTGGCGACACACTTTACCTCAAATTGACTATATACAGTATTGATTGTCATTCCTCCTTATCTTCCAACCATTTGGACACAAACATGCATTTCCCCATAACGATGTTGTTTAACAACCGGCGTAAACGGAGCTTCGTGCGCTATCAAGCAGTGAGCGTGCGCTGTCCTGTTCAGATGACGTCAAATCCAACAGGATGCCATAAATAAACGACACAGAATCACACTACACACCTACGCAATGATTACATTCAGGCAGACTGTAGAATACAACCTCTTTGGACAATTTATATACTTATTGAAAACAAGCTACAAAATGTAATACCTTGGAAAATGCCGTTTAATACTTGTTAATAGCCTTAATTTTCGCTAAATTGATTTATCAACTTTGAATACTTTTTAAGACCTCGTGGACACCCTGTCATTATTTTAAAGCAGAAGAGGTACAATTATTTGTATTATATTAACAACCAAATCATTTTAGTTGTTTTGATTTATGCTTGGAAAACAGTTCCTATTTTATCTAATTAATGACTTTAGGCCATTGCTACTTAGATTATTAATACCAAATATTCACCTTTAGATACGTTTAGTTTAATTTGTAATACTAATTGTCCTTAAAACTGTAACTCACTCATTTCTTATATAATTGTATTTTTATCAAAACGTTTTCTGTTAATATACATCAATTCATATCCTCTCCTACAAAGTCAAGATGCGGAGTTCCTCAAGGTCTCGTTTTTGATCCACTTTGTTTTCCTTTTAGATAATAATTATAATAATTATTTGTCACTACATTGTATCTGGAATTGTAGCCCTTTTGCCCAAATTTCCCCTAGCATGTACACAAATGCTAATGTCTTGAACATCATAGTGCTCAGATAAAATGTAACCAGAGAAATGTTTTTAACTAACCCATCAGGTTGTAGCAGTCTTCATATTGTTCCACCTCGTACTGAGCACACAAAGCCAAGAGGTATTCCTGCTCAGACTTTTCTCCAGGAGACAAACCAAAGCCGGCTGCCCAGGACTCTGTGAACCCTGAGGAGAGATGTACAACAATGACTTTAACATAGAAACACAATCTGTTGGTAGACACAACAAACATGAATGCATCAGAAACAAAAAGGGAAACAAACACAATCGCTGTCTTTCATAGAATGTCTAGAAAAATTGAGTTTTAAATGAAAAGGCAGAGTCAGTTGATGCAAATTCAATTTTATAACACAACCATAACAGTTATAAGTGTTCAGTGTAAATAGAAAACTAAGCTTTGTATGCCAATTGCAGAAATGGAAAGAAGGGTGTTTTATTGAAGCCCTCAGGCATTCATTTCAATAATAAAACGTTTTCATTATCTACTTGTTGTGAACATCTATTTGAATGCATGTTTTTCTGTTGTCTTGAGTTGATAAAATAAAACAGAATGCAAGAGTGAGTTTATTGATCTGGAATATATTTGTATCAACGATCTTAACATCTTACTATACTATCCAAAGATTTCTAAGTGGCACTAAAGCGTGCCTCACAGCTGCAAAACGATATCACTTAAATATTATACATTACCTTTACCGTCTTCATTGTCTTCTGTCTTCTGCTGATTCAGGATGCCATCACCCTTCACCACACACCCAGCCGCAAGTGAAGAGTCTGATGAGTGGCCATAAGTGCTGCCTGGTAGTACAGAGGGTTGCAGCTCTTTTCCTAAGACCGCGCAACCCCCCCCCAGCGTCGAATCCGAGGAGTGGCCGTAGGCGCTGCCGGGTACCGGTGATGGAAGTGGTTCAGTTTTCGACACAACACATCCACTGGCTATATGTGAGTCTGAAGCATGACCGTGGGCACTGCCGGGTATAGGGAAACGCTTGGCTTCGTCCCCTGAAACTACACATCCAGCCCTCAACCCTGAGTCCGAGGAGTGACCAAAAGTGCTTCCAGGTAGTGAAGGAGAGGTGGCTTCATCTCCTGATACCACACAGCCTGGTCGAAGTATACCGTCTGATGCATGCCCATGTTTACTCGCACGAGGTGTTGCTTCGGTCACGTTCGACACAAACTCACCCACTTTTATATTAGCATCCGAGGAGTGACCGTGGATGCTGTGAACAGGAAGTGGTGCGACAAAATCTGAGACATTTTCGCCGACTATAAAGTGGTCATCTGACGCATGGCCGTGGACATTTGGAGAAGGAAAAGCAGCGACAAAGTCTGAAACATTTTCCCCGACTTTAATGTGTGCATCAGAAGAGTGACCGTGGACACTGTGGGAAGGTAGAGGGGCTTCAACTTCTGAAGCATGTTCTCCAATCATCATGTGTGAATTTGATACATGCCCGTGGACATTATGGGATGGAAGAGGAGCAGCTACCTCTGATACAAGCTGTCCGATCTGTATGTGGGAATCAGAGGAATGGCCGTGGGTGTTAAGTGAAGGCTGCTGGGCAACCGCGTCGAAAACTGGCTCTCCAGAGACCTGAGTGTTTGGCATTGAAATATTATCAGCTTTATTTTGAGCGCTTCCATCAGGTAGAACAATCTTACCACAATCAGAAAGACTTGTCTCTGCTTTGCCACTTAGCTCTGGTTTGTAGGTCGGCAAAGCATCGAACACATAATCGTCGACAGATTTAGCGTTTTCTTTATTTCCCTCTACTATAGTTTCTAAACTCCTTGTTTCAGTCTTCTGTTCTGACATAGACGCAACTTCCTTCTGCTTGTTGTCAGTCATAGAGCCACTCCCATCCACCAGCTGCACTGAGGCTTGAGAGGGATGTCCATAAATGCTTGCTGTAGAAGTAGATGTTTGGGGCCCTTCTGGGGTGTATTGGCCCAGAGGAAAGCTGGATTTGGAGGCTTGGCCAAAGGGGCTGGCTCTGGGGACGCCAACCTGGACTTGAGAAATGTTCTCTCCTATTGGGATGTGAGAAAAAGAGGGATGGTTTTGGATCATGTCAGGCTGGCCTGCAGGTCCCCAGCGAGGCCGGGGCTGGACTGAGGCTTGGCCAGTGATACCCTCCAGTGGACTAAAGGGGGCACTGAAGTCATAGTCTACTAGCTGTGCTGTAGGAAACACTTCAGGTAGCTCAGAGCCAATCTCCTGTAAGGCAGAGTCCACCTGCTCGCTGGAGGCATTCGATGACTTGGGGAGGAAGTCATTGATGTCGATATTTTCAGAGATAAGGGCAGGGTCTGCTGTACGGGGGTTGGTTGAGGATCGGTGAGGTGGTGGTGAGGCAGCATGAGATTCTTGAGTCTCCGCTGGCTGCTGCTCAGGCGGGTCCTGAGTGGGAGATTCCTGTTAGTAGAAGATGCCAATGAGCATTAACTTCCAAAAAGCAGAATTAAATAACGAAAAAAGGATTATATTGAAGAAAAAACGGTGTGTTTTCATACCAGTGCTGGTTGTGGTGCAGTCTGTTGCACTGAGGGAACAGCTTGAAACACTTCCATGGGAGGTCTCTCCTGGCCTAAAGGATATTTCTCGAGAATTCCCTGGAAATAATTCACAAGAGCTTTTTTTAATTACTTCCTTTAGCTTAAAAAGTCTCTTTGAACAATCTTCACTTTTGTCTTTTGTTGTGTTTTCTATGTTAATTCACTACCCACCTGAACCTGCTGCCTGTCACGCATGACAAACTGAGATCGGGCTTCATCGAGTCTCAGTCGCTGCACCCGCCACATGGCCCGCCTCTCTCTGCGAGCTGCCTCCTCTGACATACGGCTGTACTGAGCTATCAGCTCTTTCCTACAATGCACAAGTGGTAACACACAAGTAACAAGTAAAAACATTAGCTGAGGGTTTCATGGGGGGGGGGGGGGGGGCAGTAACTTGCTGTAAAATGAATGTATAGGAAAGGGTCCAGGTCATATAGAGATGCATATTATCAAGATTTCCATTATGTAATCTGTTCTCTTGATTTACGAAGGAATCGATAGGTCTACAAAGTGTCAGAAAATAGGAAATAATGCCCTACTTTCAGGGCACATTCAAAGGAGCGCAATTCTGCTCCTTTTCAGGTTCATATTTGAAGTGTGTGGGAGACCTCTGCTGTGAACTTTGGGATCTAAGCCTTTACAAACTATTTACATGCACGAAGACCTATATAACCTCTATAATATATAACACACAACAGGCAAGGGAAAACCTCAAAAGGCATACTAGGGCCTCTTTAAAATGTCTTGTTTTCTTGTGCTCTAATGATTTGAAACATGGCTGTTGTGGATCCGAAATGCAACCTCAAATTTGACATGATGTTATTTTTCTCCAAAGGTTCATCAGTCACCACATCGCTTGTCTGCACTTTCTTATTAGTACTGAACATAGATATGAAGAAGCAACATATTAATATTCGCTACTCATCCTAAACACAGGTCTGATATTCCATCACACTATAAATAATATGTCTTATTTGAATACCGAATCATTTATATTTAAATTTGAGTGCAAATCATCCAGCAATCAGTGTTTCTTTCTACCCTACAATGATAAGCTCTCGTGTGCATGCGCTCATGGGGGACACTGATAAGGGTATTGGTCTGCAATAAGCCTGAGTGTGAATATGTCATTTCAGGCTCTGTGATGGCTTTGAATTCAATTATGAGCAATTTGCTAAACCAATTGTAGGCCACTTGAATGATCTATAAATACTTAATCAGTAAATGCCTGTGAAATATGAAATGTACATTTTTCTTAAGTGGATATCCCATATAATAAGGGCCTAAAACGATGTAATAAATATTCCTGCAAGGCAGTAGGGTGAAGGAAGCCAGCGTGAATGGATTAGTTAATGAGCTATAGGGGACGGGCGCAGGTAAACTCTGATTTCCATCACATCTTTGAGCTAACTTTTCACTATTTTAAGGAAATCAACTTGTGCTGTGGTCGTATAACAGGCTCTGATCACATTTTCTCATGCTGTGGCATCATGTAGTTATCCAAACTGCATGGGAAATTCATCACATCACCAGCTGCTGAAATACCACGCGCAGATGGAATTAATGTCCCATCATGTTTGCAAATTCTAGGTTAATATAGTCTAGATCAAATAAGAACTTTACAGAGATTAAAAAATCATCAATAAAACATGGCAGTCTCTAGTAGGGGCTGTAAAGCACTCAGACCTGGCTCTCTGCTCCAGTTGCTCCTCCATGGCCTGTAGTCTCTGCTCTCTGTCCCTCAGCTCTCTGGCAAAGCTGAAGTCGTCCCCCTGCTGTCTCTTCACAGCAACATTTCGCCACTGGTGCCAAAAAACACACAAACACAAACATGTACGATTGCTTGCAGCTTCTAAAATGGGCATCGGAAGCTGTGGGAGGAATGTCTGGATCCAATTTCTGCTTACATTAATGTGTCTCATACATACATTTCTGACCTGAAGGATGTTGTGATTTTAAAGCGGCTGTAATTGAGATGTATCTAATGCAATGTGAAAGGGGTCGGCTTTAGTGATGAACCTACAGAGGAATATTTCCTGAATGTTCAGCTACCATCTGTTTTACGGGGAGTTCAGGATTATTATTTAGCTTTACCTTACAGTTTACGTTTACTTTTATAGAGCCAAAGTCGGCCTGGGTGACGAACTCCCCAAGGGGGTGGCAATATCATATCTGGGGGTTGCACAAATATGGTTATGGACTGGAGGTAAAAAAAGAAACAACATTAAAAGTAAAATACATTTTTTTTAGAATGGGTAATGGCTTTTACAATTAATATTAATTAAAATATAAAAATGTTGCTGTGGGAGGGCACAGTATTAAATATATTCAAATTTTTAGATGCCAAACAGTGTTAAACCACTTGCCAGTAAAGTGCACCTACCTCTGTATACACAGACTGTTTCCTTCCCAATTATTATTCTTGAGGTTGAGAAGCACTGCTCTAACCCACCATCTTTTCTCACTTCTTACACATTTCTCAATGCAAACATGCACCTTTTCCAATTTGTTATTACTCTTTTTTTCACACAACACGCACGCACACACACACGCACGCACACACACACACACATACACAATCACACACACACACACACACACACACACACACACACACACACACACACACACACACACACACACACACACACACACACACACCTCTTGCTCCTGCTCCAGGTGCTGCTTCAGCTCATCAAAACGCTCTCTCTTCTTGGCTTCCTCGGCCAGACGTTGTGACACCTGGCGCCCTACAGGAGCCGAGAGAGATAACAGTGTGCTGCTTACCCCCCCGCATCGAAAAGCACGTAACAATTCTGTATTTCTCTGTCACACACACAAAACCGTCACCATCTGCCTCAAACACCAACAAATACACTGAGACACCCTTCTAGCACCAGGCCAGACTTTTCACACCCCTCCCAGACTCTGCCACACATCTTTGATGTAATAAATCATGTGGAGAAACTGTGCGAGCGATGATTACAATCCACAGCCTATAGAGCAGGAAGCTATTCAAAGCATCCCTCACTGCTTTGGCCTGTGTGCATCTCTGCTGCTCCCCTGCAGGAGGAATGATTGTAGCTGAAGGACACTCTCATAGCCAAGAGCAAGAAATTGAGTGTGCTTTTTACAGCGGTGTGCATATACATCAAACAAAACCATACTTTCAGTGTGTGTGTGTGTGTGTGTGTGTGTGTGTGTGTGTGTGTGTGTGTGTGTGTGTGTGTGTGTGTGTGTGTGTGTGTGTGTGTGTGTGTGTGTGTGTGTGTGTGTGTGTGTGTGTGTGTGTGTGTGTGTGTGTGTGAGTAACACTAACCGCGGATGCTCTCCAGGGTTTTGACTGTCGACTCTCTGACCTGATTGATCAGCTCCTGGCGCGCCCGCTCCACTCGCTGGGCCTTACGAAAGACAGACAAGAAATCATCATTACCAGAGATCTATCCGGCTGCCCTGTAGCTCACCTCTCCTCCTCGGGCCTCTGCCAGTCAGCTCTGCCACCACACACACACGATATAGGTCACACACACCAGGCTGTTACACTAAATCAAGCAGCGTGCGAGCCCCAGACTTCAGCTGCATCATTATAATGACTGCGATTCTCAGTACTTGAGGGGCAGTGTCACAATCATTGATCATTTTATGTAAAAAAAGAAAAAGGGAAAGAAACTCCTCTGTCTTTCTTAGGGGGAAATTCCTGTGAAATGATTTTTCTCACTTCAGGTTTCACGAAGTTTAGGATTCCCTTGATATTTAGAAATCCATTAAAGACAGCTAGCAGCAGCAAAACATTGTCTTATTAAGGTAATTCATGGTAATATATTCTTATACTGTATCTGCCAAACCTCTTGTCAGATATAACTGAGTAACAGACTTTAGAAATGGTGTAAAAATCAATGACAGTTAAATGCATGAGAACAATACGCCTGAGTGTCAGTACCTGCTCCTCCCTGCTGATGGCGCTGTGCTTAGCGATCCTCTCCATGCGCCCTCGGTACACAGCACAGTCCCTCTCGATCACCTCCACCTCCTGGAGGGAGAAGGTGACGGCGATGCGAGGCACCGGAAGCTCCGACCAGCAGATGTAGTGCTGTGGACACACAACAGGAAGCATGTACTCAAAAAGACACTCATTGTTTTAAGTGTCCTAATTTGGTGACTTGAAATCATGCGTTTTGATATATTTGACCTTTTTGGACTTTGCCTACTATGAGCCCAATTGTTCTTTGATTAGTTGATTGGTCAATTAGACATCAGGAAGGGGGTGAAAAGTGTTTACGCTATTATACAAGACAAAGAAACAGTTGGCATTTCTGCTTGAACAATTACAATAATTAAATTACAAAAATGGTTGATTAATTTTCTTTTGATCAACCAATTGATTATAAGACTAGCTGTTGAGGTCCTGACAGACCAAACTGACACCAAAGAACACGTCCCGACGGACCCGGTTGTTGTGTCGCCTCACGTCTCCTGCGTTATTGCCACTCCCGCACTGCGCATGCGGGAGTGGCAATAACTCTCCTTACCAGCAAGCGGCGGTAGTGTGTATTCTTAATTCAAAAGAGGCAACCAGAAGACAGACTGCGTGATATATACAAACAACAAATAGCGTGCGTTCCATTTTCACTCTCGTCCATCACAGACTGTTTCACATAACAACTTATAATTGAAAACATGTTTAGTGCGGTACTGTGAAATGAAAAATAATTGCCGTCTGTGTGTGCCTTCTTCACTTCCGTTTCGCTTCTCACGCACTGATTTGCTAAGCTGAACAGCCAATCAGAGTGAATTCTTTTGCCGACAGCCTTTTGCCGACAGACTCCCGATTCAACATTCATGTTGAATCGGGAGCGGAAGATGTTGGCACGGCCGAAAAGACACGACGGTGCGGGACAAACCAATCTGAGTAGGGTGACAGGAAGCTCATCGACGGCCAGACATCTATCGACGGCCGCAATCGGCCCGGTGTGTCCGGGCCTTTACACCTCTAGAACCTTTTGTAACAAAAAGACTTACAGTATCATAAACTGTAGCAATGTTCACTACAAGGCATGGTGCATTACAAAGTCTGTTGGAAAATGAATTCTAATAATAACTACAGATCAACCCACATTCTATTTGTCCATTGGTTGTTTCATTCAAAACTGTTTCTTCCGGCAGAAAATCCAAATTTGATTCTCAAATGTAGCACAGAAAAAATGTCTAGGAGAAATCTTGCCTTTTTTTAACCAGCAATGTTATGATTTTCTGAATGTGCGATCGTGCGTATCCTAGAAACTGTCTTTGTTCAAGGCATCTGCCTCAACATACTTTTTTCAATTCATAGTTTCACATGTATTCACAGCCAACCTGCACTTTGTCCAGGATATAATAACCGACCCCCAGCCCTCACGTCATTACCATACGGAGAAACACTGTAGTTACAGAATACCAATTAGTCAGGAGCATGGGCCCTGCGGTAAGGTCAGGTAGGTCGTGTCATAAAAAGCATTATATCAGCAGGGAAGTAAAGAAGTAAGGAAATGAAATACAATTAGATTACATAGAAACTTCTACACTTCACTTAAGATCCATTTGTCTGGCTTGCTAAGCTTCCTGTCATTAGGACAAGCGGGGGGCCCAGTCATAAACAAAGGCGACTCAGGGGTTTTCTTTGCAGGCGCTTTGCACTCTCGTAATTATACATTGAAATTATTTAGAGCACAAAACCAATGATTTTCCTTTACAGGCTATGTAAGATTTTGCAAGAGTATCATTTAGATTTTAAACAATTAGCTGATTAGAACATTGACTAAAAAATGATTAGGCAACCATTACATTTTAGTCATTTTTAAAGCAAAAATGTAAACGATTCTGCTCCTGAATGTGCTGCTTTTCTTTTGCTTTACATTATAATAAACTAAAGTTTGGACAAAACAAAAAGCGCTTTGGAGAAGTCCTCTTGTGTCTAGAAAATTGTGATGGACATTTTTCAACATTATCTGATGCTTTATAGACCAATAAATGAATCAAGAACAAATATGTGCATATTCAATTCCTAGTTGTAGGTCCTAATATCACCTGATCCATCTAGGGCTGCATCTAATGATTCCTTTCAGAAGCAGCTGCTAATGTTCTGACTACTTGATCAATTGATAGGATTTCATCCAAGAAACAACACAGTGGCACTTTCCCATAAAAGGAGAGTATAAGGCAATGTTCTTGTTTTGCAAAGGAGTAAACCTGGCCAATGTAAGCAGTGACGGAGAGTAGAGTTCAAGTGTCTGCAATAAATTACCACAACACCTGTGCCTCGGTACCACAACACTATTTATCCCAATGCAGAGGCACGTGTAGTGATAACGCTTTGAAAGAGCCTGTGTCCCCATATGTTGCTGTATTGATTATTTGTCCTTTCTGCTTTGAGCAGTATGATTTTCCAAATGGGTAGAAACATGTTGTGGCAGGTAGATAATTGTGGAGTGTGGATTTTGTGGATTGCAGAGTTGATCTGTGCACCTTTTCGCCAATGCAGTACACTGAATGGCTTCTTACAGACAGAAAAACCGATGAAATATGGTGGGGTAACAGTAGAATATTCTCTTTGTACTGAATAAATTAAGACTGAATAAGATTACATGCATCAATATTTCAACACAACATTTGGATGCATGAAATCCCCGTATGCAGTATATACAGTATGTATGAATGTGTCTGATTTGCAGAACCAACCTGTGGGCAGCAGATCTTGAGGAGGTTAATTGTCTTTCCGCAGACGTACACATCATTGCCGATGTGTCTCAGGAAGACGGGCACACAATCCTCCACATCGTTGGAGATCAGAGTGTAGCCTTGGACCCAGAAGTGTTTGTCTGCACAGATTCAAAGACACCTTTTACATGCCGCTCCAACATTTAGACCAAGTAGTTTGGCTGCTGCTTTATGCCTCTGACAACACTACACAAAACAAATAGTGGTGGAGTTATAACTCAGCCTGCACTGCACCCAAAACGTATTAGTATGACTTACGGGCCATGGCAAAACTCTGGTTGCTTGAATTAACACTTGGAAATTGTTAGCGCTTAGCCCAGTGATCCTAAGCAAAAAGCATAAGAGAGCATGAATGCTCTGAGCTTCCCGAGCTCTTTACAAAAAGCCCGCGGCTTGCCAAGAAAGCTTAGCTGCTGATTGCTTCCCTGGCCGACGTACTTCGAGGAGAACAATGACATTTGTGTGTCCTCCAAAGAGTAGGGGCGAGAAGTGCAGAGGTTCACTGCGAGAGTTGATGAGGTGTAGCCGATGAGCAAATGAACCTCAGAGCCAGACAAAGCCGAGGTGATGGTCTGACCTTGAATGGGGTGTAGCATGACATCCAATATTTGGACAGGCTATGATGATTCATATAAAGCCATATTTATGGAGCACTGTGGAAATGAACGGATACAGTGGGAACTCGTTTGGGGAACTTTGATCAGGATTAGTGTTCATCTATAAGTACTTCGCTAATAAGGGGGTGCAACCACCAATTACTGTCAAAGGATTATTCTGCACATTATTTTCTTAATCAATCACTTTGTGTATAAAACATTATATTCTAGTTGTTCCAAAACCAAAAGAGAAAAAGCAACAAATGTTTGAAAAGGGGGAACCAGACCAAAGTTTGGGTAGTTTTAGTGAAAAATTAGAACTTTAAAAAAAATGTATTATCAAAAAGGTTGCAAATTAATTTTCTGTTGATTGATTGTTTCAGTTCTATAATATGTTTAGAACTTGTGTTCAATTACAAAAACTTAACAAGAAATGGTTTAATACCTTTCTGTAACAATATAACTTTAACATCACACACTGTTTTTAATGTCTCTAGAGCTGCAATGATTAGTCAAATAGTTGCTATGCGAATGTTTTGATATCCAACAAAAAAGTTTGAAATGAGTTCGAGTGTCAGGACAATTTGATGCTTTTCTTGGTGTTAAATAACACTACATGTAATATTGGGATATCATATTTTAGGATATTGTCACTTTTTAATTTCTTCTTATGTTTTTTAGACCAAATGGTTCATCTGTTAATCAAAAAAATTATCAGCAGTTTAACAGATCATACAAACAATAGTTAGTTGCCACCATGATGGCAATCATCAAATTACAATTTTGACTTGAGATGAAATAAATACAAATCTCTTCGAATGGCACAGTAAATATGAATCTTTAGTCAGCCAGTCACTTTCTGCCGAGTACAGATGGGTTTGTATTTATCCGCTCTGCAAGGATCATCTCCTGTCTCAAATAATCTTCTGCTCTCCTTAAAGTGTCAATAATTAGAGTAGCAGAAATGGAGTCAGTTAGATTTGTCGGTGGCAATTGCAAGAGAAGAAATTTAAGAAAAAACTAATTGAATTGAGGAAATGTTTCAGCCAGCATGGTGTACCGACTGAAGAGAATAAAAGGAACATTATTTGTCTGTCCCTGTGGCTCGCTGAGCAGAGATGGCTCTGCCTTCCAAAGCTGTGGTAGCTGATTTTGTTTCCCACTGATTACCATCCAATAACTTCATGACATCCTTTATAGACACGAGGACAAATCCAACTGGGCAATAAAGGCTGTAATGAAATCTATTTTTTTCTGCTAGACAATCTGTCGGGCACTGAAGGCTTTTTCATTTTCAGAACTGGAGATGGGATGCGTGGCGGCTCACCTCTGCAACCCAGATATTCCTCATTGACTTGTATCATGAATTCTCCATAAACATCACGGAACACGCCGCTATACACCCAGTCAGACACAAACCTGAGGGAACAGTAAACACAGTCACACTCAGTCCTCACAACAACAGAAAAAACATCAATGGAGCAAATTCTGCATGTAATGAAGAGCAGACATGTCCTTGGTTTGAATTGTTTCGTTTTAAAGAGGACATATTATTCTCCAGTCAGATTTATATTTGTATTTTTGGCCTCTACTGTGACATGTTTACATGCATTAAATGTTCAAAAGGTGCCAGCACCTCTTTTCACCCTCTGTCTGAAACCAGAGCCCAGTCTGCTCTGATTGGTTAGCTGGCCGGCTCTGTTGTGATTTGTCAACCGCCTACAGCTGTCCCACCCCTTAGCCTATCACGTTGGAGCGCTAGCCAATAGAAGTGCAAGTGTTACATAGTGATGTCACTATGTTACGGAAGAAACATAGAACGTCCAATCAAACAGTTTCAGGCAGGGGGGAGTGTGTGGGAGAAACTCCATCTGGCGTTAACTTTACACACCATTTACATGCACAAAAACCTATATAGCACACCAAAAAGCATAATAGGGCCCCTTTAAATAAACATGTTTGAATGTGCAGCGCAGCGACTGACCGTGTGTACGGCTCACAGCTGCTCTTCAGCAGCGACAGCAGCACCGGGTAGTTCTCGTTGCTGCAGTTATTTTGTGCCTCGTTGTACAGGTAGGACATCAATTTAACCCCCTGAGGAGAAACACATGGCACTGAGCTGACATTCCATCTGATAGGCTGAACACCGCCGTGATGGATGACATATTGCAGTTAGCAGATAAAAGAGTGCTCACCACGGGGAAGGTAGCCTGGCCAGCACCTAAAGGTCCGTCCACACAGCACAGCTCCGACAGATACCTGAGATTAAAAGAAAGGAAAGGTTTTTGAATTAATGATATTTTGCATCAAGGTCCTCTAGGACATGAGGTTGAGGTTCAAAAGTATGTAATTAACCCCCAAAAGGCAATTTAAAAAAAGGTTTAACCTCACCTTAGTTGGCGGCCCACCTTGCGGAACAGGAAGCTAATAGTCAACAGGCTAAGGGTGGGGGGAGTGCTGAGAACACAAGCCCTGTAGTAATGCAGATACTTCCGCAGACCACCTGTAAAAGCCTTGGAGAGAAACACAATGTTCTTTCATTGATTGGTGTAACAGTGGAATGTATCACTTTACCTTAAAGTGGACCTATCATGCTATATTTGAATAATATATTATAGGGCCATACCTATATAAAACATGTTTGTGAAGTTTTTTTTTCAAAATACCAAACAGACCATTGTAGCCATCCCTCATACTGCTCAAACCCCTCTTTTCGGAGGCCCTGTTTTTGGGCAAGGGCTGATTCTGTGAACGTAGCTTATGCAAATGAGCTGGGCAGCTGACCACACCACCTGGGCAGGAGAGGAAGATCAGCTGCTGGGGCTCGTCAGAAGAGGGGAGGAAATAGAGGCTCCGTCCTCCGTGTTTTTATTCTTATATGATTAATATAGGAGGTCATTATTTCCATTTGTTTTAAAGCTCAATACATAGAACAAGAGAACACTTTGACGCGCACTTTTTTAATTTGTCCGGGAGATTTACACTAACGGACCTGGTGATGGGCGTGAAAAAATCTAANTCAGTTGTGAGAATGCATGAGATGAATAAGATGAATTAAGGAGAGTGAATAAATGTCCGTATGACAGAATGTTTACACGAAGGAACACTGTTGTAGGTAAATCTACTTATAAATATGTGGCACCAGGTAAGTCTTGAATGTAGTTTTCTCCCTGCATGTAAAAAGTGTCCATGGCTCTTTTCACTATTAAATTACTCCTGTTGTAATCTCCTCCGGCTTGTTAACCGTTGTAGCAGACCGGCCCGACTTGGAAACCGAATTTCTGGTTCCCCTTCCCAAAATCTGGCACGGCCACGTCGATGATTGGGAGCGTGGTGGACAGTGGAGCGTCAAATTCAAACAACGTCCTCTCCTGCCCCGAGCGCGTCTACAGCAGAAAAACACATTTAAATAAAAAATCAGTTGATGTGTTCACACCAATAAATACATCAAGGCTCAAAGGGGCCGTATTCTGTTTATTTTCAGGTTCATATTTGTATTTAGTGTCTCTACTGTGAACTGTCTAGATGACTTTAAAGGTGACCTATCATGCAAAATGCACTTTTGTACGTCTTTTATACCTGAATATGTGTCCCCGGTGTTCCAGGGAACTCACCAAGTGTCAGAAAACACAACCCTCTCTATTTTCCTCCATACCCAAATCTCTTAAAAAGGGGCTGCAACGGATCTGATACAGACTGATCCAGATTTGAACACTTCTATGACGTCACAGAAGTGGCGCTACGGCTATTGGGCCAACTCCACCAATCAGGAGGAGACAGCCACGGACATTGCCGTTCGAAAGCGCTGGAGACGCTGTAGTACATATGCCAGGCCTGTAGATGGTGCTGTTCTCACAGAATCAATGCAGACAGTGTTAAATTGAGCGAAATGAGGAATGGCTAAAATGCATGATCTGTTTGGTATTTTGAAAAATAAAAAGTATAAATATGCCTTATATAGGTATGGTCCTACACTATATTATTCAAATATAGCATGATAGGTCCACTTTAAGTTGTGTTCTTAGATTGTTTGTGTGGATGAATTGTTGACATATTCGTCTCATTTATGACTCAAATCGTCCTTTAATGAAAAATTATAAATAACTAAATTGAAGTTCCCAACAGTGCTTACAACAATAGTCTCATGCAGAGTAAGGGTAGAAAAAGGAGGGGTAGAACGAGCAGGCCAAACAGTATTTATAACACTTACACAAACATACCTGAAAGACAAGGCCTTTTTTGTCAGCACACTGCAGAGAAAAGCGACTTAGCCTTAGGTAGTGGGTGCCGTAGTGGGCCAGCTCCCCCAAGAGACGAGACACACTCTCTGGAGACGCTCCGGACACACACACACCCGGTCTGACGTCAAACTGAACGCTCTGTGGAGGACATTGCAGTTTTAAAGATGGCAGAAAAGTACAATGAATAACCATCTAATAAGATCTAACAAAATCGCCCTGCAGCAAAGACCGCCTTTGTGCAGCTTATAATATTGAATTGTTTTTGAGGCTGTCAGGGAGACACCTCCGTGATGATTTCGGAAGGCATGGTTTGCTGTGCTATTATATTAGACCGCAATACATAATCAGGTGTTTGTTATGTTGTCCTTCACGTGTTTTTTTTTATGAGAACTGGATACAGACAGGACCCTTCAGGGGGGACAGAAATACCAGACAATATTTTCCAATCTAGCAAAAACACTACCACAAACCACAGCCTCAAAGATTACCTTTGAGTTTAATAAACACCTCTCTGAGAGTCTCGACATGATATGGTTATAAAACCTTGCTGGAGTAGCACATCTGATGAAAGACTATTGTATTAAATTGTCGAGGTGTTCCTGTTAGTGTGCACCTCTTCTAGCAGCCTGCGTGTTAATGAGGAAGTCTGCTAGGCAGCGAGTACACAAGGGGCTAAGGGAGTTAAGAAAAGAAGAAGGATTCAATTTATGTAGTAAATAACTATAATCTTCTGGAGGTATAAAAAAGTGAATGTGAAACAATAAAGCAACAAAAGAGCACTCCTGTGGTTTTGTTTTTTTAGAATTAGGAGTATTTTCATTTTATTTCCTCATCATTTAATGTATTCAGGCGACTAACTGTGCTTGAAACTGTCACGTTATTTCTTTTTGTAGTTGTTTTGTATGCTAGCTTTTAGGCAGTCAATTGGGTTTGTTTATGTCACACATGCACAGATGGTCCATTGATTCGACTCCCAGTTTCTCTTCTCTGTGAGTTTTTGGGTAATTGCATGCTGTCACGATGCTTTTATCACTATATTTACTTTTATCACCTCAGTCTGACAGACCCCTAAAACAACAAAACAACTGCATTTTACTGCGTTTAAGGGACTGATAAATAAGGGTGATGAAATGCACCTGGTTGAGAGGGAAGGTAATGGAGGCCACTCCGATCAAGACGTTGAGGAGGTCGAACACCAGCTGGGCCTGAGTGTCCAGGGGCAGAGGGAGGAGAGGAGAGGGGGTCGCCGTGCTGACCACCCTCATCTCCCCCTCCCACAGACGATAGAGCTGGTCAAAGGACTCCCTGCCTCCCTCTGTCAGATAAAGGGACTCTCTTTTCCCCGGTGGGCTAGTCGAAAAAACACAAGGAACAATATGTGAAACTCTAAAATGACATATCTTTCGAAGGTCTGACATACAAACACATTACATCCCTCCAGATCATGTAAAGGGTATTAAACATTTTCTAATATATATTTTTTTTTGAGTAGATGATAGATCATTTAATAAAAAAAATAATGAACTATTAATGAATACAAATAGCAATAATTCTAAGTTTTAGTCCCTACTTCATTGAAAACATGTGTTCTTTAACTGTTTCAAATCTAGATAATATTGGAAAGTTCGTATGCTTTAAATCAAACTGGAAACACTGCACTTTATGTCACATACCAGCCAACAGACTCCCAGCAGCGGCGTCTCCCAGGCTCGAACGTGCGGAGAGCCTCCCATATATCAACATCTGGAACGGGGCTGGTCTCTGACTGAGAGTCTGGGGTCATGTTGGAAGCTGACTGGAAGCCCTCATCCTCAGACTGATCTAAACATGTGGGGATCTGCAACAGAGAACAATAAATCCCAACGACACGATAACATTACACAGGGGTTTGATCCTAAATCAAACCCCTGTGTAAAAATAAGGTCACTGGAATGTTAAGCGAACCTGAAGTGACCCGCACCTATTTTAAAACTCAAATGAAACAGCATGCATTAGCTTAAATAAGAAATAGTGTTGTACCTTTAAAGCCAGTCCAGTAACATCAATATTACTGGGAACAGGAGGGAGGTCTAGTCTTATGTCAATGTCTGAGGTGCGAGTGTGCTGCAGCGCTCCAAACAGTGTCTTCCTGGTCTCCCTCTCAAATCTTTCTTCCACTTCTAATTTAGTTCTCAGAGCCAGCAGTCCTGTGCTTGGAGGAGCATCCATCAACCTCTGATTTCCACACAAACTCTCCAAATTCCTCCATTCCTCTCCACACACTAGACCCCACGCCTGGGCCTCGAGCCTCTGCAGCTCCTCGCTCTGGTAGCTCCAGGGGGGGGGCCTCCGCAACACGGGCCTCTCCCGTCTCATGTAGTCTCTACTGAAAGAGGTAGGAGGTGGAGGTGCAGACCCAGCAAGATGTACCAAGAGCTCAAGGACTGCATCTACTTCCTTCAGTCCAGAGGATTCTCCCTCCATCAGCATCCCCAGTTTCTCTTCCAACCTTTCCGCTTCCTCTCGGCACCCTGCTACCCGCAAGTCAAAACTTATCATGAGGATTTTGTTTTTGGCCGGTGTATTGGCTGTGGCGCTCGGGGCTCCTGAGGCAGACCCTTTGGTGTCATCCTGAAATAGCTTGGACAGCAGGGCGCCGTAGGCACACTTCTTCAGAGCTCGGTGGAAACCGTCCCGTGAGACTCCACCGAGGGCCCGGCGTTTCCATGACACCCCAGACAGGCTGCTGTCACACAGGGCCCCCAGCAGCTCAGTGATGCTGCTGCTGCTGCTGCTGCTGGACTTCATGCGGTTGTTGGGGCTGGAGTACATGGTGGCAGTGCTACCTCAGCCTGTGTGAGTGGAACGAAATCTGGTTATTTGGTATAGTTGTAAGAACTGGAATTCACAGAGCACAATAATCAGAGTAATAGAATCAGAATGCCTTTATTAGTCCAAAAGCGGGGACATTGACAGTGTTACGGGAATAGAGACATAGCAGGTAAAACAGGCAAGCAATAATAAAGAGTGAGCTAACTTGTTAAATATAGAGGGAAAGCACACATAAGTGACACATTAAATAAAGACAAATTAGTACACATCCATGGCTACAAATGACTAGCAGCATTAAATAGCTAAGTGAACATATTAAGGAGATATAACAAATTATGTTTTGCACATCAAAAATATGATACTTATTGCACAGTAGAATTGCCAAAACAAAGTGTATATATTGCACATTATAGGTTTATTACACAAGATGTCAACAGTATACGCAGTGTAACAGTATAGTCTGACTACTGCTGCTGTAATATCTCATCGGAAAATCTAAATAAACTTAAATACACAGTAACGTTAGATATAAATTAGATGAATTGCACTAGCTAACGGTAACAAGCTAGCTAAGTTAGCTATCAGTAACCTCTGTATATCAAACTGCATATTGAAATAGCCAGACCTTTTCAATTCAGAGTTAAAACAATGCTAATCGTGATTATTTACCCTATTGAGATGATGTTTTTAGTTGATTTTTGACAGTTTCAATCACACATCCTTCCAGCACATGCTAGCGTTTGTTATTAGCAAAACCCCACGGATGAACTGTATTCTCTTCTTAGCTTGTATGCCAAGCATGCGGAACCAAGAAGGTGCCCCGGAACGTCTTTATTTGTCTGGGGTTTCTTTTTACAGCATATTAGCGCCACAACATATGCTGTAATGTTGTTGTCAGTCACTAGCTAGTTGCTTCACTCATCTTCCAGCATCAACTCCCTACCGCGGTGCCAAATTAGAATCTGCCCCTTCAAATGTGATTGGACAGTATAATTTTTAGACTTCGGTGATTGGGTAAGGATGTTGAAGAACCTGCGCTCATTGGTCAGTGTTGTTTGTCAATCATAGGACGTGCTTTGCTGCATTCAGGGGATCCCGAAAAAACAGCCTTCGGTTTGATATCCACAGAACCCTAAACATGAACTGCGAAGTTTAGCTTGTTTTGGAGGGAAAATGATTACATCTATCCCTCTATTAATTATTATGTGAGTATAGACTGTAATTCATAAAACATTAAGAAAAACAACCAACATGCATGGAACTCATTCACTCGGTTCACATCTATTCTATCTATTGACAATGTCAATACTTACATCTGACTGTATATTGTAGATATTTTTGTTCATTCAATGCTCCCTGTATTGTCCGTTTTTACAATATGCACCTTGCATTTATTTATATTTAGCACATCTTGCATTTCTGGTTGGATACTAACTGCATTTCATTGGCTTGTACCAGCACTTTGCACAATGACAAAGTTGAATCTAATCTAATAAATATATATATTTATTTATTACGTACACTCAAGCTTTATGCCACCTGTATTTGAGTTTTTAATGTGGAACCAATATATTATGTGTATATTATACACGTGCTAGAAATGTGTTACATTTACGAGTCTTACTGTGCTTACTGATCTGCACAGGTCTAGGAAAAAGAGAGCTGGAAACTTAAGAATGTAAGTAATGGAAAACATTTTATATGAATTGTACTTCAAGTTACTTACTTACTGTAGTTACTAAGTATGTTGTCTCCCAAAGCACAACTTTTAAAACAATATTGACAGGATATTTTATCATCTAAACAGTTAGGCTTCTGTTCTGTGGCTTTTAACTCTACACCTCCCAGAGAATCGTTTCAGTTTGACAGGTCTTCCTACTCTCTTTCTTCTCGGCCCATTAAACTCAGCTGTTAATAGAGATGCTTTAGCTGATTTAATGTCTGCTGAAATAGCGTTGGCTGCTTTGGTTTAAATTACTTACAATTCTAAACACTCTCAAATCATGTAGTTCAAGGTCTGTTAAAAATGCAAGCTAACCTTGTAAGTTATTTTGATTTGCTCGAGGGTTATTACAGAGCGTAGCAAGCCCTATAATCAGTTGTGAGGTTTTAAATTATTCATCAGAACAACAGTTTAAAATGACACCACAGCATCATTGTTTTTATTTTCACCAACTGTTCTTCATCCTCCTCCTCTTCCCCTAAGGGCGGTGGAAATCAAAGCCAAATCTCATTAGAAGGTTTGAAACGTGGAAGAGAAATGCATCCTGCTGGTGAACACAACCATCTCCTGCTGAAGGAGAGCCTGGCTGCTGTGTGTATAGCATCTTGGGCAGGAGAACAGAAGCCAGCAGCATGCAGATTTTAACCCAGTTTCTTGTCAGAAACTCTGCATGGACGTAAAATTGTTATTTGTCAGTGTGCCGTATCATTGATTGCTAGACATTCAAGGGCATGGTTGTTTATAAATCTTATCACTAGTGCACTGCATGCTACTGTAAATGTTGACTCCAAAAATGATGTAAGCTACATGTCTTGATAGAAATAAGTACAGTATTGCCTTTGATTTTCCAGCAGTGATCAAGGATAGTGTATAAGATGCATGCTTGCGATAAGTAATCACTCTTGCCTTGGCAGCGGCCCTTGAAGTTTTTCTATCAATTGCTGCATCAATGATCTGCTCAGTTAAGAGGATGGCCTGCGCAGGCCTCTGGTCGGTCTTTGAAACCCCCCACCCCTGCGTCAGGGTTTGTTAAGCAGTAAGATGAGGCAATTTTGCCTTTCATCTTTCTTTTCTCCAATTTCATTTTTAGCTGTCAGTACTTAATTAATGTTTTCGCAGCAATTTTTCAACCTTCACTGCCGATGACAGAGATGCCGTGCGGCTATTTACAATATCAACTCGTTTCATGAAGCCAGACCTTTGCTTCTAGTCTGTATTCTGAGCAGATTGACAGGAACCTGATGTGGCATTTGGGGAAAAAGGCGACAGGCATCATTGTCATATGGTGTGCTGCATATGAGCACTGATGCTACCAAAACAGTAGTTTAGGGTCATAATATGCACGAAAAACCTCAGAAAAACTGCCATGTTCAAGCACTGGGCCCTCTATTTTGTAAAGTGATTGGTTGGTTTGATCAGAGATAATTTTCATGAACCCACCGATTACTGCTAAAGCTCCTCTGTGAAACTTAGGGGCATGTAAAGAGCTGCTTGAACACCAAAGACTTACAGCAAGGATTTATTTGACTTTAACAAGAAACTGGCTACCAGTGTTATTCCATCACCCAAGGTGATAGTAACTCATGCAATATGCATGTGAGGTGAGTGTTCAATTGAAGCAAATCAATATTGTAAAAGAGAAAGAAACACAGCAGATATGAAGGGCGTATATGTCTCTGAGTTTATTCAAGGAGGAGTGTATGATGAAATCTGTGGGTAACTGCTCCGTCCACACACAACCTTTGTAAAATTAAGATCATCCAGTACAACAAGATCAGGTAGAAGTTCGAGAATCTTCTGAGCTGCCGTGGATGGAAAGGAAATTGTGGCTTCCATTAATGGTCCTGCACTGAAAATGGAGTGTCCCAGTTTCTTTAATCATTACAGCACATTCACAAGATTCAAAATGGAAAAAAGTCTCGACAACTGCACGAACAACTTTTTTTCTCTTTTGTTTTTTTTGTCCCAGGACTCAATGCATAGGATTATACAGTTAGAATACAGTATTTCAACATGTTTTACAAAGATTTATATGGTATAGGAAACAAGAAATAAAAAAAAATAACTGCACAGCAGTAAGAAAAGTCATTTGTCGAGTATAGATAGTCATTTATCGTACACACTGTGGAACAGCTTAGAAACACAGGGCAAAAAAAATGTACACCATTGGAACAATTTTGCGCTATATTCGATCTACATAAGGACACCCTTTTGATTTCAGATTAATTTAGAAATGCCAGACATTTTCAAGGGAAACCCAAATCACAGCCACATTATTTTATTCATTTTGGAGATTTGCTTTAGCCACCAAAATCCTACTAAGCACACGCCACAGACACCCAAAGGAAATGCACACATCGAAACTGCAACCATAAAATAAATCATACTGAAATGTCTTCAGCCTATTGGCACACACATGGCTGCAGCAGGGCATCTAGCATTTGAGACAGCACACATAATATCACAAGTCCAAATACATTGCTGTGTCTATAGCACTATCGTCATCATAATCACCTAGGTTACGATAGAATAATTTAGAAACAATATATATGTATTATCCTATTCAATAAGGCACATTTTTGGTTAAAGAAAGGCTCTGAAAGAAGCGTCTTGCATCAACTCTGTCAGTGAGGGAGGAGTCCGCAGTAAACAACAGCGAGGAGGATGGAGTCTGCAGTCGGCACGCAATTAAGATCAAAAGCCTACCCTGCTGATTCCATTATAGTGAGAGCCACTCTGCACTGCGCTGAGTGGGCAGTGCCAAGTGCTGTTGGTCGGGATGCCGGGACGCCACGCTGAGACAGCAGGCAGGCGGCAGGCTCGAGGTCTGTGCAAACCTCTCTCTAGCCAAGGCAGGAATCGTTAACATTCTGGGGTCTCTGGAGCTCGTTATGCTCTGTCAACTGCACGCATCCACCATCAGATACGGGAGGACAATTAAATCATCTGTCAACAACAAAACCTACAGTTTAGGGATGACGCGTGGAAGCGTTTAATGGCCCAAGAAATCCCAAACCCTCATTCCTACCCTGTCCACACCTCGGCTCTGACACTGACATATCAACATCTCAATTACTAAAACAATTATGTACATGATTGAATCTGACCTCCCGATCATCACACAAAGGCTAAAATAACTGTAATTTCTTCAAAACATACCATTTAAGTACCAACTGCTTCTCTAGCAGGTAATTAACATCAGCAACAGGCGATTTCATAGCTTTAGAGGCAGAATGCTTGATGACTATTTGGAAGATAACAAGAGTAATACTTTAAAAGAATGGCACAAAAAATCATAAGCACTAAAAAATGCATGAATCAATTTGGAAATCTCTCTAAAATATTGCTGAATTGCTACTGTGTGAATATATGAAATTAGTTAATGCGACTGTTGATTGTGGCTCATGTTATTCTGACATTATTGCATTGCTAATATGAGTGAAATGGCTGAAAGAAATTGCTTTTTAATGACACTTAAAAAAAGAAAATTAATGATATCTGTAAAGGGTAATTAACTGAAATGCTTTAAAAACCCTTCTGAAATGTCCTTCTGTGCTTTAGTTGAAGTGGAATGTTTCATGGCACTGTACAATAAAGGGAGACAGACTGTGCTTTAATCGATTTCCACAAGCACAATTGGCGATCCAGCTTGAAACAGATCTGAGTCAAAAGCAAAATGATTTAACTCAAATATTTCTGAAACTACTGGAGGCCTATCAATCATATGAGCCTGTGCATTGTTAGATAAACCAGTGCCCTTGTTAGGACCCTTTGGTCTCTGTCAAAAAGCTCAGAGAGAGCGTAGGCTCCAGTGTGTCACTGGGTACGGGGGATTAAAATGACAGAAAGCAGGCGTCTCTTCGCCCTCACGCCTGACAGTAGGCATCCTGTATGTGCACACACATTCCCACACATTCACACACACTCAAATTTGTACTTCACACAGACATCTAAGCACACACAGGCTAATAAAAACACTATCCGCACCACAAGGTGATCCATTTAAAAAGATAATGTTTTTTCCTTATAAAGCTTTCCGCATAAAGACTGCACAATAAAAAAAATATATAATACAATTCTTAAAACCTTTTTCTACACAGAAAGAAATTGAACATCTGATTATCGCCTGTGCCAGTGCTCCACGTAGGGGCTTAATTATCAGAGAGAGGTCTACCGCACTGCATTGTGGGAGCAATATTCAGTGAAGCATGA